TGAAAAGAGCAAATTCTCACGGAGCTAGAGCATGAGTTAGCTTCGCCAGAGATTACGGATTCATTCATGCTCTGTTGATGTGATGAAAGGATTGGTGAAGTGGATGGTGTAATGTACGCTTCGTCCAAGTAGTCTTCCATAATCTATGAAAGAATGATTTTCTGTTTTTTAGTAATCATGCAGACTTTTAAGCGCCAACATCGCTCTGCTGACTAACAACATCTTCCTCTGGTAGCAGAGAGTTCACTACAGGAGATGGCGTCGATGAACCAGGACAAAGAGGAGTTTGAGTCTGCATTTGCTTGCCGCTTGTCTCAGCCATGTCCAATTCGGTCATGAATCTAAACAGTTTTTTTATTATCCAGGCTCTCATTCTTCACAACATGCAGCAAAGGTAGACGTGTTTTGATAGTCAAAAAAGACCTTTGCGAAGGGGACGACTTCGGCAAAGGAGTGGCTGATGCACTGCATGTTCCAGACTCAACTTCACACTGTAAGTAACTATCAATCGGAAAATAATTGATTTTCTTAAACAGACTGATTGTAGTGTTAGCTTCCTTTCTTGTTCCATAGTGCGTAGAGAGCGAATCGATGACATCTCATCAACACTAGCACAAGCAGCATACTTGAGCCTAAAATATGCTCAAAGGCCTGCGATTCATAGAAAAACTCAAGCTTGTAACCTGTCAGCCAGATCGCAAAAGTCTGTCAATTCTTGTGCACTGAGTAAATGTTTATTGCCGCGAATATAAGACGCAATTTCCAGGCAATATCTGTAAAGCTAAATCAGCTCACAAAAGGCATGAGGAGTTTATGCTACCTGAACGCATCATTGACAAATCCTCCAAAGTCAGCGATTAGCTGAGCATACTGTATGCGTCTCTTTTGAAATTCCAGCGATTGACTAAGGTAACAAGCGTCAACCTCCGATAATCGTGTAGCATAACCAAATATTTCTGTAGCGTGAAAGTCACTGAGAGAAAAGCTGCAATAGCAAATCTCGTACTCGACAGTGGATTTATAGAGCAAGAAATTTGACGGTTGAGTGTTCTGCGATAGTGACAACAATGTACATGAAATGACCGCGCAGCACAAGATTGGAAAATTGATCTCACGGCCATCCATGCGAAATTTGTTGA